GGGTTGTGCTTTCTTTTAAATCAATCTTCATACAGATAACCTATTACAACATATTGCAGCTATTGCTTCTTCCTAATGAGATGAACAAGACTTGTATCTACTGTGAATCTTAAACATCAAAGCAATAATGAAAATTATCTTCCTAATTTCCAGATAATGAGCCAGCAGAGCAGCCTGTGACCGATCCATCTCTAACTACACTTTAATATCGGCAATCAGTTCTGTAATTAAGAGGTGCGGACACACATCCCACATAAGAGGTTTGGGGGAATTTTAGTCCGGACTGATTTTTCGTGTGCTGATTTAGAATCAAATTCATTCAAAATGATGATTAACAAAGTGGTTCCGACAAAAGGAAACGGCAACCTTTTATAGAGCAGATGAGTCTCCCAGCACGAGCACCGTCCCACGGCATCTATTTTTCATCTGTCTCTCTGTGCTTCTCTGTTGCTGTCTGTATCCCAACTCTTTCCCTCCCCCCAAGATTGATGTTATATTTATATCACATATATATTTTATATTCATTGTAATATCTGTTATTTCAATTCAACTCTTCATCTCCCATTTAATCAAATCCCTGTTTTTCGGCCCTGACATGCACACTACTTGCCTTTTCTAGGAATTGCTTATCAGAATTTGTCCTTTCCTTGTTTAGCTGCTCTCTAGTTACAAGGTGTGATTGTGTCCAAGCTGTAGGATGAGAACAGAGATAATACCTTCTTTATCCGAGGGGAGGTGGCGTACAAAGTGCCCTGCACCTCAAAGCATATGTAGGACAGCATTTTACCATGTCTGCGCTTCTAATTCTGTCTCAGCCATAAATACTTTACTTTTAGTTTGGTGCTCAGACATTATTTGTGCTCCAAAGGTGTGCAGATAGCATCCTGGTCCACAACAACTATCAAAATCAAATTCATTCCAGCAGTCAAGGATTCGTGGGAATGACAGTTTAACCGTTTGGGTTGGGAAATCTTTCCAAACAATCTGGAAAATCCCCATTCCTTCCTTTGGAACCCCCGGCACTTCAGTCCTGCCCTGACCTAATTCCAATAGAAGTCTGTCTCAGCATAGCACAGCTCAGCATGGCATAGCCTCTAGTTCCTGGAAAACACACACACGCACACGCACACGCACACGCACACACACACGCACGTATGCCCAGTCCCACTGTCTGGCCCACTTATGCATCTCCATCTGCTCACAGCAACATATCCGCCCCTAACAATTTGAAGTACACTTGCAGGCTTGTCTTGTACATCTTCCCACAGCAAATCTTATAATCCGCCATTGGCCTATAATCTCTGAGCTGTCCACAGTTACGAGCTGTCCACATATCAGCAAACTGACCCCAGAAAACGTCCGGAGAGAAGCATTATTTTTTGCTTTGCAGTTAAATTACAATCCACTTTCTGATTTGGATAGTGACGTGTGTGTGGAATTAAGTTGCATTAATTGAGCCACTAAACGGCCAATGTGTAAACTCAATATCTGCATCCACAGCAGAGGAAACGTTACTAAGCACTCTGTTGGAATCATGTCTCTGCCATTTCAGGCTAAATAGTTTAGCTCTCTAGAGGTTTGGGATGCTTCAGCAGCTACTTGCTAATTTGGTCTCTCTTTGCTGTTAGGCTAGTTTATAGTGGGTTCATCTAGGCTTTTTAAGACTGGCCCATAGAGCTTTTGAGACTGAACTAGAAAATGACCATAAAACCAAAAGCAATGAGTTAAATATGGCTGACATGTTTGTGTAGAAATAGAGTTTGTACTAGAGCCCCTCTACTTAAAACATTGTTTTAAACAAAGGACACAGTTACTGGCAGTGTGTCAAACATATTAGAACCATGGCAACACTTATATTAAGGGATTGTGAAGATATACCGGCATATTAATTTTTTTTTATCAAAGTAGACTAAATGGAACCCTTTTTTATTACATTTGGGAAATTTGTTTCTATTCATTCAGAAATGTTTTGTGTTTAGCACCAACCAAAGCAATAATGGGCAGCAGGTGGATGTTTCTTGTTCCACATATGTTACATTAAGTTGCTCTATATCTTCCATTGCAGTAGTAGAACTATCTCGTAGTGCTTGTCTACACTAAAGCCTGGTTTAGAAAGTGTTTAGATTTGGAAATTGTGGGCAATAGCCCGTCAGTGAAGTGTGTTTCATTGGCATGTAAATGTTTGCTATGCTAGAAGCTCAGGACATTTACATTTTGTCCATATTTTTAAAGTTTTTTCACTGTTAATTTCTGAGAACACGCCCATCACTTGGGTGTGTGTGTGTGTGTGTGTGTGTGTGGGGATGGATGGATGGATGGATGGATGTTTCCCATGACGGGGATAAGAATGTCCTGCGAGGCTCGGCAAGCGAAGGTGTTTACCTCATAATCCAGTTGAAGCCTTCCCTGGGCTTAAACTGTCGGCAAACTCGCACTACTCAGCATTCATGAAGTATTCATACCTATTCTGCCCATCATATTTTCTGGGCCTGCACTGTGCAAGGGGCAGGGTTGAAATGGACTTTTTTTTTTTTTTAATCCACTGGAAGGTATTTTGCCCTCATCAACTAACCTCTGTTCCACAGCTGGAGAAAAGTATCTTCTAATGTCAATCCTTATTGTAGTAAATTATTGTAATGTTTTGAAAGGCTCTTGAATGAAAGGAGAGACAATGATTATTTTTGAAGTATTGTGATGTTTTTTTTTTTTCAACAGTTTCTTTGTGACTAAATTTCTATCAAACTTAAAATTTAGCAAAATTTCACCCTCCCCTCTCTCTCTCATTTCTGCATCAATCATTTGATGATACAACAGTGAGCTGTTGTTCTAAGTAGGCGCCATTGGCAGTATATTTAGGCGCACAACTTCTGGCTTGCAAAATGTACAGAATTGATCTGTTTTAAAATGGTGTTGTATATGAGATAGCTGCTTGAAACAATCGAAATGTTCCTTTGCAGGTCATTGATTTTCATAAAGAAGGAATTGTTGTCTGGGACTGCATACCAACAATGTGCAGGGCCATTTGAAGACTGGTCAAGGGGAAACTATTTTTGTTTCTGAGGCTTTTTTTCTGAGGTTCAGCTGAACTCCTTGTTTCACTGATTGTAATTAGGGAAATAATAAAAAATCGTGGGTGTTGCTCTGTCATAACCTCACAAGAGAACTATGAGGCAGTGGAACACATTCACAGATTCACAGATTTTCCCAATGTTTTTGTGCACCACCATTTTGCTATTTGAAACTTTTTTCGTTTCGGTGGGAGCATGGAGAATGTCAACTAAATCCTCCAGATGATACAACGGAATTTCCAGCACTGACAACCTCCTCCACACAGCTGGATTCAGGCCAAAGCTAATGGCCTCTGTGACAGTTTTACGTGTTGTTGTTACTTTAATGAGCAAAAGGGTTCAGGAAGGTTTATGTAGGTCACTCTGGAAAAGTATGTTAAGGAACCCCAGATTAAATCTATTTTTTTTTTAATAGTGTAAGAAAGATGCAATTAGTAGTGTATATAGCTGTCACTACTTGTTTTAACTGGTGTACCTTCTCCACCTTCTAGATGTATCCACTTTCAAAACCGAATCCCCCAATCCACCGTTGTGGAAGTCAATGTAAATACATCAGCACCAACATAAACATTTGTAAGTCGGAAAGTACACGCCTTGTGCATGTGCATGGTGCACTTTCATAAAACACACTCTTAACTTCCTGTTAAAACTCCCTGAAGGTCTGCCTGAGGAAAACAAACCATTCCCACTTAAGATGATTGTGGTTCTTCTCTGCCCACACATACAGCTATATGTGGCTGAGGAGATACTGGAAGACTGCTGACATTCAGTTTGCAAAAGTACCCCAGCAGCTAGTGGTGCAGGTTTATTGGCAGTACTGTTAGATAAGTACTGAGTAGATAATAGCCTGTTCCAAAACAAACATTTGGCTGATGAAGAGTGGACTGTGCATGGAAAACATAAGAGGAAGCATGACTAAGATCTGATGTGCAAACTTCCCAGTAAACTTCCCACACTTACATCCAGAAAAGTTTCTCTCTTTAGATGAGGTTTGATCGATCTTTGTTACTCTGGGACAATCCTGCCATATATTTCACACTTTGCTCAGACTAATTCTGTATTCATGTTAGAAGGGTATTTTCGCTCCGTGCACAATGTGTTTCCTCACAGTTCTGTTACTAATCGTGTTGGTTAATAAAGTTTATTCTAAAGTATAATTGTGGGTTTGGATTCCACGCAGTTATTGTCGAAAACCTCTCTGAACCTCGGCCAAAAACCCAGGAGGTTGTAAAAAATGTCTGACTGCTGTTAAATGGGGTCATGGTAAAATGTTAAAAATAACATGCCAGTTAGAAACTTTAACTTGTTTTCCATTATTGATTGTAGTTGGCAGAGAGACTCGTGCAGAGAAAATGAGGAAGACATTAATTCTAAAATGGTCCAGTTAGAGCTAGTACCTGTCCAGTATCTATGTACATATTAAAGCATGCTTTACTGGATGATTTAATGTCAAAATGCCTGGTAATTAATGACATTACTCCTAGTAATTATCCCTCACATGTATGCTGGATTGAACAATGCATGGTTAGCTGCTCTGTTTATGGTTGTAATATATTTGAATGATGAACTGTGTGATCCACACATTTGTATAAATGAACAAGCATTTGATAATATTTTGATATTGTTGCTTCAAATTCATCTTGCAAATTTTTCCCTTCTCCAAAAGTTGACTCACCAGCAACCAAAATACTTCAGGAGTTGGCTCAAGTTAAAAAATAAACCCAATCTGGCATCACCAGGCTAAAATTTCAGAATTGTAAGTGGCCAAGTTATCACAAGGGTTTGGCCATCAAAGCAGGGTTTTCCCTTTTTTTTTTTTTTTTTTTTTTTTTTTTTTTTACTTCTCCACAATGTCACAGCATTTGAAGAGCTCTGCACGCAAAGATAAATGAACTGCGGTGTAACCAAGTGTCCTGTGTGTTTGTGTCTCAGGGGAGCGTTCTCTGAGGTGGTCCTGGCAGAGGAGAAGAGGACCCAGAGATTGGTGGCTATCAAGTGTATCCCCAAGAAGGCTTTGGAGGGCAAGGAAAACAGCATTGAGAATGAGATCGCAGTCCTGCACAAGTAAGTGGACCTTATTTTCCTTTAGTAGTCAAACAAACCAAGTACAATGCCAAGTCTGTAGTGTAACAACGGACTTTTACATGTTGGCCCATGTGCAGCATTAGCCTGCATCTCGAATACAAACAACGAAAATGGCACATTTTTCCTCGCTGTATCTCCATTACTTCATCATGTAAGTTGTGTCACATTACTAGACATCATACATGCCGTACATGATATATTCTGTACCAATATGCATTGAAAATCATCTTTTCACTCATTGTGATCATTGTAAGACTGATCCATATATTTGTATTTATATATTCAGTAGAATATATAAGAAAGGGCCATTGCTCTCTCCAAGTACTGAAGGAAAATTAAAAACTTTCTAATCTACTGGTTTCTAAGTAGAGAATTCAAAACCCACTTGTATTTCAGGAATGAATTTCCTAGTTAATCAAACTAGTTTCTACTGAACAAATTTTCCCTGTGAAACCTGTTAACCTGCATTTGCAATACAGGTTGCCTGCACTTAAAGGACATGTTTTTAACCTCATTATGGTGGTGTGACAAGAAGTGTTTTATAAAATGGATGTAGCAACCCTTTTTAATTTTAGTACACACAACAGCAAAAACAATATTTCAGTTGACTTACATACTGTAATTGTGTACTTGTGTAGTGGTTCAAACGTATTGTCTTCAGACGAGGAGAATTACATAGCATCGGGAAAATGATCTACATTGCGTCCCGAGTTATTTTTAGAGCTCCTGTTACCTGGGTTACAGCACTCCACTCCAAGCCAATATTCAGCTATGATCCGTGCATAGGTGAGGCTGGAGGAATGAAAGAGGCGGGCGTTTGTAAGCATGAAATCATTGTCAGCTTGCCTTCGTCTGTAGTTTGAACTCGTATAAAGATTTCATTACTCATTTTAACACGTCACCCTCAAATCCCCCTAGGTACACAGAGCCTGGGACAAGGTCTGACTGAGTTGTATTTCCTTAAAGCTGCATTTACCATTTTTTTTTTTCCATATCCACAGTGGATCAAATTACCCCACTTAATGTGAAATTATTGTTTTTCCAGAAATCATCATCTTGAAAATATATTTCCCCCTTTTGGATTATTCAGTATAGTTAATGGTGTAGTCATAGCCAGTTGTTCAGGGGAAAACAACCAAACTGACAATCAGTCCGAAATATTGATTAAAATTGATTTTGTACCTTTACAGTGACGTAAACCAGCTCTCTTGTTTTGACCACAGAAGACACCTAAAAGTGTTCTTACATAATAAACATGGTCATACTGAAACGGTAGCAGAGGATCATGCAGCCCACACTATCTCCCCTCCTCCTTCCTGTGATTCCTTGATTTTTCTTCAGTTGTTCTTGTCTCTCGCAGTGATTTATTGTTAACTAAATGTTTCCAACCTGTGCAAACCAGTGGTCCCGGTGTTCTGAATTGAATATCAAAATTAGTTCAATATCAATTTCGTGTCTAATAGCCCAGTTTGTGTTAGATAAACTCAGCCTGTTTGTTGTAATGGTGTAATGGTAGTTTGATCTAGAGCAAATATTTACTTAAGCGCAGACATGTGCATATACGGTGACTCATCACATGGTGCTCACTCATCTGTATTCGTGCCGGAAGAGTTGGTGCAATGTTGTTATTCTGAAAAAACTTGTTAACATGAAACGTCAAGTGGGTCGTTCTCAATTAATGTTTATCTCCTAATAATTGTGTGTGTCGGACCACCAGCAGAAACACCTCCTCTCACTGCAGGGACTTTGATCTTGCAAATTTTGTAAGAAGTATTCATTATTTTGTCACAGAAACTATAACAAAAATACCAAAAAATAATAATTACTAATAATAATGAATCCATTTTTTATCCTTCATACTTCACCGCGTCCATCTTTCATTCCGCACTGAGCAGAGCACATACATGAGGACGCCCACGTATTTTTACAAGCAGATTGTCAGAGTTCATTGTTGTAATCCTGCATGAGCTCATATTGACTCAGACTATACACAGTTACCTGTGGTACAGCTCAAACACATGGCTTTGTGGTTTTCTTCGTCCTCTTGCATCCAAGCACATATTCATAGTACATATACTGAGGTAAATTAAACATAAGGGTTACACATAAATGATGAACACAAGAAAGGTTTGTTAGGTCTCAAGGCTACACATTCTTTGTTGTGAATATAAACAAAACTTTTGTTTATAACCTTTATTAAATTGAGAGTATTTAAGTGGTCACAAGGTAGTAATATGATGATAATAAAACACACACGTTGACATGGATCTAGGTCAGGGTATTGTCTCTGATTTTCTGATATTAATGCTGATATGGTAGCATGTCAGAAGTCCGGTAACAAAAAAAAAACCTTTCACCATAATGGCCCTTACTTTTAGAAACAATAACATGGTTTTAACTAAACAAGCCGCACCAAATACAAGCAACAATGCAATACATTTGTCAAGGATTGGCCACGCATTGACAAGGTACCAGGTACTACATTAAGGAAACAAAATTCTGAATACTATTGCCATTCAAAACCAAACCTTACAGGTACACTATTATGGTAAAGGTGAAACCATTTTTTTTCAAAGTAAAATTGAAAAGTTTAAAGCTACTTTGCTGCTTCATGATGCAAAAATACACTAACAGCAACTCTAGTTTACAAAAAAACTCACCAATGTGATATTAACATGCAATCTGCATCATTAATAAGTGAATATGAGACTCTGTGTATTGACCCGCACCAGTGGACCCTTTATTAGGTAATGCTGACACCCAGTGAAGCGCATGTGCTCATTGGATGAAACTCTGTGATGGATACACTGACTGTGGAATCTGGTCAAATACTAATGGCTGAATAAAAAAAAGTTTTCCTTTTTGTTTTCGCAGGATTAAACATGCCAACATCGTATCTCTGGAAGAGATATTTGAAAGTAAATCACACCTCTACCTTATCATGCAACTGTGAGTATTCGCGTGTGAGTATGTGAGTGTTTAATGCATGTCATTTAGCTGACACTTTTGATAAAAGCGTCAGCTAAATGACATGTCATGTTCATGTTCATGTCATGTTATGTTTCAAAGTCTCAATGTGCTGCACGTCTCATGCCACATGCAATCAGGCAATGGTTTATTATTGACAAGTGATTATAAAATCTTGTCAGTCTTTGACACTTCCACAAGGGGAGGAGGAGATGGCGGGAGGGGTGCGTAACAGCAGCGTGAACGTACTAGAGGTGGTGAGACAATCTTATTTAAAGAGACAACAGCAGGAGACTGGCACACAATGCAATTGCTTCATTTTGCTATTTGAATAAGTAATATCATTGCTGATATCATGATTGACAGGCCCTAACAATGACAGCAGCGAAATAATGAGTGTGCATGTGTGAGGAGTTAATAGTAATCATACAAATTGACTACAAGCCTAAACACAAGTGAGTCTTCCTTACTGAACCTATACTAGAGCTTCCTTTTAATGCACCCTGTAACACACACAAGGCCATGTTATACCTACTTATGAACACAAGTGGTGAGTTTGTAATACGAAATACGTTTTATGTTCTCTCTGAATAATGGACTACCTTTCTTTCACCAATGTAATGGATGTACTCATTGTTACCTAAACACAAGTGAGTCTTCCTTACTGAACCTATACTAGAGCTTCCTTTTAATGCACCCTGTAACACACACAAGACCGTATTATACCTACTTATGAACACAAGTGGTGAGTTTGTAATACGTTTTATGTTTTCTCTGAATAATGGACTACCTTTCTTTCACCAATGTAATGGATGTACTCATTGTTACCATGACCTAACATCTAAAATATGTTGCACATACAACTTTAGAAAATTATTTTGCTTCTCCTCCTTTTCTTGTTTTTCTTCATTTCGTAACGCGTGTTAAGGAAAAAAGTGTCTGTTTCATATTGTCTGCTAAAAACAGTTCCAGATTATACTGTTGACAGGGTAAAGTCTCCATCTAGTGGCTTCTAAGTATACTATCAAGCAGCTATTATCACACCATGTCAAACATTTTTCACTCCGCAAGAAAATAGTTTTTTTCGGTGAGCGATATGTAATTGCAGTACCTTTCATTAACAGTATATTAGCAGTATTAACATGTTAAACAAGTTTCCTTTTTCAGATTTGTGAGGATTTTCTTTAACAAAGTCCCATTTTTAAAGTCCTTAATGCCACCTTCAACTCTGGAACTTGTTGATTTTTATGTATTTTCTTTACCATATGCCTGTTCATCCCTATTCTTTTGATGCATTCATTACCAAGGAAAATCTTTAGCTGTCCTAATGGACCAAAATAGTTTCCACAAGTTTTACTTCGACCAAGGAATCTCCCTCTTTTTTCCAGGGTGTCTGGCGGGGAACTCTTTGATCGTATCATAGAGAAGGGCTTCTACACGGAGAAAGATGCCAGTAAGCTCATTCAGCAGATTCTAGATGCTGTCAAATACCTCCACGACATGGGCATTGTACACCGTGACCTCAAGGTCAGTCCTGTGATAGTAGAGCGGTAGGAGAGTGTTTCCATGTCTCGTGTGATGGCACTCTCCTCAGCTCTCTGTCTTTGGTTGTGTCCATCCTCTTTGCAGCCGGAGAATCTCCTTTACGACAGTATGGATGAAGACTCCAAGATCATGATCAGTGACTTCGGTCTGTCTAAAATTGAGTGCTCTGGCAGTGTGATGTCAACAGCGTGCGGAACACCTGGATACGTTGGTAAAGAAGTCAGAGACATCTTGAACAGTCTCTTTCAATAAACCAGTTTTACAAGGCAGGGAACCCTGTTTCACACATTATAAGCTCAATGGCAATATCTGAATGAGGGTACTGCAATGCTAAATATTTCATAAAACACCATCTACAGCTAGAAATAATTGTATCCCAGTTAAAAAAAACACTAATTCTGTAATTTACACACTAATCGTGCTTAACGTGTGTCAAACACGTTAAACGTCTCTCTTAATTAACTTGTACTACCTTGTTTTGTTCTTTCAGCCCCTGAAGTGTTGGCTCAGAAACCCTACAGCAAAGCAGTGGACTGCTGGTCTATTGGTGTTATAGCCTATATTCTGTGAGTACACTTTGTGGGACATGAATCTAGCCCAACACATCATGGATACATGTCAATGGTGCACTCATCTCCATGTTCTGCATGCTGGCCGCTTTTGTAACTTTATAGTTGTTTTATAAAATTGGGGAAAGCATGACGTCTGCTCTGTACTGTGTCTCAGGTTGTGCGGTTACCCTCCGTTCTACGATGAGAATGATGCCAAACTGTTCGAACAGATCCTGAAGGCAGAGTACGAGTTTGATTCTCCTTACTGGGATGACATCTCGGATTCAGGTATAGCTCTTATCAAGCCAATTTTCTTTAGTCCTCAAAAGGGACTAATCTAAATGTTTCTTAGAGGAAACAAAAAAACGGTATATTTTGCTTTAGATGTATATGTGATTAGAAGTATAATTTTTGTTTTTCAAGGTGCAAGATCTAAACTGGTCACCTAGGCAACTCTATTATTAAAGCACGTCAAGAAGTTCCCTAACCTCGGATCACCTTGAAAACTTCCCTCTTTGCAAAATGCAGACCTTCTCATCCAGCAGTAAAAATAAGTAGGCAGCCAGGTCTTGTTCGCATCCACTCAGCAGCCTGACACATCTCACCTTGAGCGAGGCCAAGTACAAGACCGAGATGTGTTTCAGAGTCAGTCAAACTCTTTCTCCTACAGAAAGAACTTTCTAATTTTTTTTCTCTCTAAATTAGCAAATAAAGTATACAATCCCCACCTTCCTGGCTCTTGAATTCCTCCTGGAATTGTTTTGGGCAAGGATCTCTTTTAGTCATTTAGAACAAATCGGACAATTCATTCAGCTGCAGATTTTTCCGGCACATTACCTCAAGACTGCTTTTTTACTGTTTCAGTACACAGTTCACTTGAATATTGTTGCATCTCTTTAACTGGTGACATTTGAAATATTACGATTTGTAACCTTTTTCTTTTTAGCTAAAGACTTTATAATCCACCTGATGCAGAAGGACCCCAACATCCGATACACCTGTGATCAGGCTCTGCAACACCCCTGGTACTGGTCATGTACTCCTCTAAAACGATTCACTCATTCTGTTGTCTGGTTCAAACTGACACTTAAGCTTCAGTGATTTTTCCTTACTCTGTTTGTCAGGATCGCTGGCGATACTGCTTTGGAAAAAAACATCCACGAGTCCGTCAGTGCTCAGATCAAGAAGAATTTTGCTAAGAGCAAGTGGAAGGTAAGTCAGACAGATTTTCTTACATGCATGATGTATGCCATATTAACTCTTTGTTAATTTTTTTTAATTTAGTTTATATTGAAAGAATATGGTTTTAATTGACCTTTTGGAAATGGAATGTTTGATTTATTAGACACATTAAAGATTTGACTGCAACAAATTTATTGGGTGAAACTAGGGTCAAGACTGCTCAAGGGTTGTGAGATAAACCTTTAACCATCTGTTTCTACACTTGATTGGTGTGTTGAGGAACTTCAAGTGTGAAGCTGTTTGGCTGAGTGGTTCCAAAGAAAGCTGCAAGCATTCAGGAAAACAGGCTTTTCAATGGTTTAAAACTCTGAGAAGGTAAAAATCATTCTTTAATTGAGCTGATCCCAGCTCACAATGAGGAGTTTCTTCCGCTTGGAACATTGTTTGGTACCCGTTTACCGAACAAAGAGCTTGAAGGATATTCTAAAATACAACCCGTCACAGCCTGTTGACCTTCTGCTGTCTGGTACTGACACGAGTATACCAGAGCAGCTTGGTCCCTCATGCTGTGAGACTCAAGTTATCCTCCACACACTACCATGAAAAAGTTAGTTCTAGCTTTTTGTTTTTCTAACATAGCCAAACCACTGCTTTAAGCTGATGTCAGGTATAGTCAGAGTGTTTGCCCTTTACAGGTGCAAACGAATGCAATGCAGGGTTTTCTCATTTATATCGCCTTCTTGTCCCCTGCAGCAAGCATTCAACGCCACAGCTGTGGTCCGTCACATGAGGCGTCTCCAGCTGGGCACCAGTAGCGAGGGACCCAACCCCAGTTTGCCGGAGGAAGATGCAGGTACCACCTGTGGTTATTGGTGCTGCTCCATTTCCATTGTGTCATTTTTTTTCTCTCACACAGTGTAACCACAGCATTCAATAAACAGCAGTTTACTGGAACCGTTGCCCCTGTTGCATGCACAGGGACAAATGTTTGACTGCAGCTATTACCATTCCTAAGTCAACACACTTATTAGATGAAAGAAAAAAACAAGCACAGAACTGATAGTACGTCCTATTTCTCTCTCAGAGGCCTGCGAGGGAGGGTGCTCCCAGAACGTCGAGGGTGGAGCTGACCCCATCTCCAACTGCTCCTTTCGCTGCCACCCAACTAGCAGGGTGTGATACCTGCACCTGTTCCACTTAGTTACCTGACCAATCCCAGCATTTTTCAAAATTGAACCCTCTCGGTGGAAGCACCATTTCCCCTCCCCCCACCCCCTTATCTGGTTCGGAACACTGCATAATTCCAACCTCACGCCTGCAGGGGGGGCAAGCCTGTTCAGCCTTAGAAGGGGATTAAAGGAGTGAATAAGTAATTTGAGGCTAAAGGAGTAGGGAGACTTGAGGTTAATCATGCACCGAAGGATTACTTCAACAAACCAGGCTGGTAGTTTGAGATAAAATGAAATGGGGAGGAGATACAAAAGAAAGGGAGGAAGATAACCTTCTCCACCAGAGAGTCAGGGGATCGTTTTTGCAGAAACAGGACAGAGCTTCTTGGACAGTGTTTTTACCCATGGTCAATTTCTCCCTTTGTTTTATTGTTTTATATATTTCTCGGTTGTCTTTTTAACGTCCAGCAGTGCAAATCCAGAGACGATGTCTGCATGATCAAGAGAGTCTCCCCCGTTGCATGTTTTGTCATGTTAGAAATATATCCTGTCGCAGTAATGCAGTACAATGCAAATTATGGGGTGTTGTGTGCAAAGTTGTTAAAGGATGAACCACATAGTGCAACATAGCTAACTTCTCTATGTTGACATCCACTTGAGTCAAATCTTCTACATTCTATGTCTTTAAGTCAAGCTTTTAGACAATCGGTACGGAATAGTTTATGCAATGAAAACTCCATCTATCTACTCTGTAGCCTTTTTTGAGGCAATGTATTGTTTCCATGCAGCGGTTAGGTTTTTTGAGAGGCAACATCTTCTCTTTTCTCGACCCAGAACCCCTTTAACCACTCAAGCACAGGGATATATCTTTGTCTAAGGTGCCTTTACTATGAGAAGTATATTTTCAGGTGGCGTCTGAAGTTTGTCGGTTTCTTAAATGACAGACTTTTGTATGTATCACATTTCATGCTTTTTGTCTCAGATTTGAGTACTGTAATCTCCGATGGCAGGGCTTGCATACGTACTGTACAGTGCCATTATAGTTAAAGGGATATTAAGATGAATTTGAAACTGTCAGATACATTTCTGGCAAGCTTCATTTTTTAAATTATTTTTTTTATCCCTTATGGATTATTTACATTTAGCCTGCTCCCTCAATGATACAGATTAAAGTACCGTGTTCATGAATTTAAATACAAATCCTTGTTCACTTTGCGCAAAAAAATTGTACTTTCAAACCTTAAAAATATTAATCAGTGTGCTTACTTATGCTGGAGACTAGGCTGACTTTGACGGTTTATTTTGGTTCTGTCAATGCAAGACGTCTAAACAAAAACTGAAACTAAAATTTGATATGCATCTGTTACTCTGTACTGTATTGTACCCTTTGTCTCTTCATAAATTATTTTACAGGCGCATTTCCTCCCATCAGCAGCCTGTTTAGAAAGGAAACTCAAATTAAAGGATTTAAATATGCATCAGATTGACTCACTTCATCTTTACTGTTCACCATTGGGGGTTTTATGTTTGTATGTGCATTAAGAGTATATATTCATAAAACTTGCATGGAAAAACTAATAGCACTATTGGCTCTTTCACAATGTAACGTGTCAAGAGCAGAATAGTGTTGAGTATCAGATGTAGAGGAGCTTAATGCACATTTGTTAAAAGGTACTTCAGTCCTGATACTGATAAGGAATTGAAGAACTATACTCTTGGAGATCTTGCACCAACATGCATCTTCTGCGTGCTTCATCCTGTGCTTGACGAATCGCAGTTTAATTATAATAGTTTCATTCTCTCACTAATACTCTGGATATTTACTGATATGAGTTGCATGATGTGGTTTGAACTTGTCAATTTAATTGATCAACAAGGAATAGTGTGTACACTACTAGTACTGTTGTGACCGTCGCCATGAGATGAGTGCTGTGAAAAGGATATTTTGTCAGAATTTGTATACTTTTAAAAAGTTCTAAATTCTCATCAAAAGTTTCTCATGCAGATGAGAATAGTAGAGCGACAAACGTATTAACATTTCAAAACAAGTTCAAAATGCTGCTTTAAAAAGAAATTATCCTGTGTTCCTATTGGATAGACGTTGTCATGTATTTGGACGTAAAGTGTGGTTCAAAGAGTATTCTATTCCTCTGGGATGTTCAGTGTGAATTGTTTGTACTTTGAATTACTGTGACAGAGGAAGACCAACACAAGCACATGAAAGCTGAGGTAGGGAGGTGGTTGTCTGCAGCTTTAATAAAGTTGGCAGACAATATCAATTTATCTCCCGATAATAAAAACAAAAAAAAACAAAAAAACTTATTTTGACATATAGCCACAAACACTGTCCTTCATTTCAAGCAGTGCAATTACGCTCCTGTGATTTGTCTACAGATAATTATTCATTTTGTCGATATTAAAAGGTTTACAAGCACAGTCAATCCAAAAAGTACTCAAAACAAATGTATTTCAAAGAATAGTAAAGTGATTAGGTTTGATGTTTCTCTTTTGAACACGTTAATTGCTTGTAAAGAATGACTAATGTGTAATTGGAGTATATGTACCATAAATATTTTGCCTTTTGAGAAATGCTCTTTCGGGCTGCGGTATCTCCAGTATACACAGATGGAATGTATCGTGTGTTGTTGAAACTAATTTGTAAGTGAAACATGCATTAAAATATCTGTCTATGCATTATGAATCTGTCTAAGTTAATTTGTTTGTCCATTTGAAAAGAGTAAACAATAGTGTCTGCAGATTTAGATTGGGTGGCATGTCTTTATGTATTAATATCATATACATTTATTATTTTTCAACAAAAGGTAGTTTCCAAAGACCAACAGAAGAGGGAATAAGGAGAAAACCAAAACAATTGTGTTATAGCCTATAATTATCACCTTCATACAAATATAATGACTAATGAAAGAATCAATAAATGAACAATTGATACATATGTTCTTTAAAACATATAGAAGTGGTTTAAAAATGTAAAATCAAATTGTTATTGCCTCTAAAAACAGGTTAGTTTAAAAACAGGTTAGTTCACCATAATGTATCCAACTATTTATAGCAAGGAATCATGTCTGTTTGTGTGTACTACCGCTGTGTGCTGCAAGTTGGACACCCAAAACATTCAATATTAATTAACTGAATAAACAAGTGACTAGAGCTCCAAGCTGCAGGGGCTCTTCAGGCCAGCATGTTGTCTCAACGTGCGGACAGCGGCTCATTACGCGTGTTTAACTGCTAGATATACATGCATTACATGAATGCTGTATGATTAACATTAATTATATAATATATTGTTAACTGAAAGTGGTTATATATTGTTAGTGAAAGTGGGTTACAAAGCCCGAGGGAAAGCATGAGGGACTAATATGAGAATAATTGCAATTGGTATATAAAGATAAGCAATACGCTTAGTTAATATTATATCTTTGAGTATTTCACTGATGTTTCTGAGGCTTGGCGCCAAACTGAGTATGTCCTATATTTAAATATTTAATTCTAGTGAAGAGCGAAAGAATGATCTTATCACCACGGTGTACTTACACCATGTGCTTTTGGGGCCTGTTGTAAGCTAAGCTACTGTCACCTTACATTGCAGTAGAAGCTTCACTTTTAGCACACATATCTTTTTTCAAAAATAAATATATACATATTTATTTATGATTATAAAACGTGATGAAAAATGTAATTACAGTATTGGCTTCAAAGGCAGAATATTATCACAATATGTTTTTTTTAAGTTAGTCACATCCTTTGTCCAAAACAAGAAACCAGCAAGAAAGCATGTGAATAGCGGTGATACTTGAAATTGATACTACTTGAAATTGTGGCACTGTTGCTCTCATGAAATAGTTTTGTGGTTCGTGAGGTTTGTCATAAATGTTAATTTCGTAGTTAGCTGCATGAGGACCCTCTAATCTCCGAGGAATACTGGGTAATTTGAGGCTGGTGGTTTGGCTCTGGAGCGTTTGTGATGGAGTAGACCAGAGAGCTGATGGCCAACCTCATTCTGGAGAAAGTAGACAGAGGAAAAATGATGCGGTCAAACCAGGAACATGGGACTGATTCAAAATAATAGAGAAATCGTACGAATCACAATATACTGAAAAGATACAGGCGCTGTTTCTATGTGGAATAGTGGGGGGAAAAATAATGGGAAACATGGCCAAGAGGGAAACTTGGCACAATGCAGAGATGTATGTCGAAATAAAAGATGGGACGGGAAAACATTTCTGAAACTAAAACACATATTTTTATGTCTGGCTTTAATTTCCTCTACAAGACGAGTGGAGCAGCACATTGATGAAGACTGTGCCTCCACCACATCCTCACCCATCATGGAGCACCGTTGCCCATGCTCGCATGGAATGTGAAATAGAGACTCCAGAGAAACAATCCTAGCCGAAAGGGCCTATGACTTATTCACAGCTTCGTCATTCACATGATGACTGGGAGGGTGTCGGCACTTTGAACCTTCTGCTAAAGAGCGCTGCGAGCAAATTCCTAACGTGACAAAATTCATGAATTTGGCTGCTAAAAATGAACTAGTCAAATTTTTTTTTTTTTTTTTTTAATAATCAGATAAAATTTAGTCAGCCATTTATACTTGAATAAGCCATACTTGTGCTAAAAACTAAATGCTAACATCAACATGCTAACATGCTCATGCTAACCCCATCCAACATGACCAACTATGCTGCTCATACTCTTTAAACCTCTTTTGTAAGCCGGCATTATTCAAGGTTTTTCACCTTATGTCAAAGTGTCGATGTAAGGTTTGAAATGAAATGTGTTATGTGCACAATTAAAGAACGAGCGCAGCCTTCTGTCTGTCACCAGGAACCGATTGTTTTCTTCTTCCTGTGTTCTTGGGAGGTTTATGTCCCTACTACATTCATGTTGTCCGTCAACATTTGTTACTAGTTGTTTATGCCCTTTACTCTTTTTCCGCTAATTTTCTGGTCAGAAGATATTAACTTAAAAATATGGTAAACCAGTAGGCCTACTTCTATGAGGGCCGGTCTAAATAATCTATATCCAATGAATTGTCCTTTGGGGACTTAACTGAACAACAAAATTTCAAACTCCAGGTTAAAACAGAAACAAATGAAAATTGAACCTTCCTTGTGGAGGTAACAACAAATTCAATAAAGCTGCAAGCAGCGATGAATGGGCCTTCGCCTCCCCTTGCATGTCTGGGGGGGTTGCCCGACGGACGGACACGGGGTCGTAATAATGGCCACAATGGCCAATTGTGACCAACGTGATTCATTATTTTCAAGCCTACTCTGCTGATATAGAGGAGATATCTGCACACCTGGATCAAAGCAGTTGCTGGGGGCTCTTTATGATTACATTACATGCCATTTAGCTGACGCTTTTATCCAAAGCAACTTACAATAAGTGCATTCCAAGCCGATTTAAAACTTGCTACAGATGAGAGCCCTTATAAGTATGATTAAGTGCTACAATTTTTTTACAGTTTTTTACAATTTATTTTATGGTCGTTATAACAGTTTACATGCGACCGAAATCGACCAAAATGGACGCCAGGCCATGCCCAGGTAGTTTCACAAAATCTTTATTGTAATAACTTTTGACTACAGAGGTGTCAGGATCAATTTGCCCGAACATGAAGTTGATCGGGCTTAAACTCTCTGAGGTGTTTGTTTGTTTGTAAATCCAAAATAAGATGGAAATTGCAAAATACAAGCAAAAATTCAGAGATTGGCTGCAGCTTCCACAAATGTTCAAATAAATAAAATCAAAAAGTAGGGTAGGCTCAGGAACTTGGGTTTTTGACCTAATAATGATTTCCTGAAAATTTCGTGATTCGGACCTAGCGTCTGGGAGAAGTTCGCAAAAACGTGTTTTTCACAAAATTCAAAATGGCCGAAAATCTAGTTAGGTGCATTTGCATACCATGATTGACTTTTTTGTAGACCATACCCAAGAGCCTCTGTGTGCAAAATTTCAATCAGTGAAGCTGGATAAAAATTTCTCCAGAGGGAGCACTTCCAGGGGGCGCTAGAGAACCCTTTATTTATCCCCCTTTTTCTATCCTGCGCGAGCTCGAGAATATCGACATTTTTCGTTTTTCAATATGACAAAAGCCGCAAAAGTGTGATTAAAGTGGAGAAATAATAATAATAATTCTTCGAAACACAAAAGAGCTTCGCCCAACTTTCAGTCGGCTCAGGCCCTAATGACAAATCACGTCTAGTCTGACGTGCGGTTTATTTTCCTATTTCACATTATGTAGACACTGCAGTGTACACTGACATAGAGCCAAGAATAAGACTAATATGCGCGTTTTGATTCTAAACCCAAAAGTGGGTTGCAGCAAAAGGTTGATGTTTTGAAGGGTTGAATAATGTTAACAATACGTTTGATTAGCTCAAATTGTCTTTGGAAATTTCCCACACATTGAAAGTAATACACACATCCTTCAGACACACACACACACGCACACACACAGGCACACAACCCCCATCGCACATTTTTTTTACACACCTAATCACTGAAATATTTTTTTTTAATCTAATTTGTCAATTTTCTTTGGATGCAGCGTCAGATAGCTCACAGCATCTGGGCCAAATATTTTCTTTGGACCAAAACACAGAAAAGAAGACAAAAATCATTCATGTTAAAATGGTTTCCAGAACCATTTGCCCTCAGTCCTTTGGCCTTGCATTGTTTCGAAATAGAAGCAGGCTGTTTTGAGTTTGAGAAAGTCAAAGTCCCTGAGGTGCTGGAACACAGCAGAGGGAAAGAGACTAAACTACACAGTTAGATCCCCGTCCCTGTTTTCACCCTGATGAGTGACGTGCAGTTTTGGAACAATTCACATGCTGAATGACTCATTTTAGCTGCTCTCAGTGGGTGAGATAATGTGAAAGTATTTCAAAGACTTGCTCTCCCAAGTTTGTTCAAATCCAAAAATATGTTCAGGGATCTCTGTCTTGAGTGTGGACTTTGAGCCTTTTCAGAGAATCAGTCTGAATGCAGTCGCTCTTGAAGCAAAAAGCCCCGTAGTTTATGAAAAGTTGCAGACCCTCAAAGTCCTGTGCAAACCACAGCTGGTAATAAGAAAGAGGGTGGAGAGCAGAATGGAGGCGATCTGGCAGTATGTGGAAAGCTGCAAATTTTCCACTTTTGGAAAATCCTGCCTGCAATTAGGGTCAAACATCACCAGAAACGTGACTTACATCTTACTTACATTAGTCATACATTTGATAATGACCTGTGCTGAGAGTTGAGCTGAGAGAACCCTGACGCGGTCCATCAAATGACACAGTGTCCAACCACAGCAGATAAAAAAAACGAACATGGAAACATGGAAATCATGAAATAGTGTTGTTTCCAAACTGTTGACCATCTAGAGTGGGATTTTACCGATTTTAGTGGGGACAAAAGATCAAAGCAAACATCATGCAGGATGCAGAGTGGAATTCTGAGTCATCTCATTCGGGAACAGCGTTTGTGAGGGTGCTATCTTCCCCTGATGTGGAGGTGACCAATGTAGAACTGATCATGTCAACTAGGTGTTCTCATGGACAACAATGAATGCTCTCTCGTACACTACTGAGACACTCTTACGCGTATTAATGAAACACTCTTACGCTCGCTGTTGAAATGCTCTCGCGCACACTTCTGAGACACTTACACATACATATATACTCTTTAAACCTATGCACGGGCATATATAAAACATTATATATACTCATCTGAAACACTTAGCCTAGATATGTGAAACAAAGGGCCCCTCATAGATTCAGAAACCCTTCCTCAGAAGGAGGGAGCACAGATTGTGACACCTAAATCCTAGTTTATGCTTCTGCGTTTTCAGAGCAACGCAATGAAACGCAGACGCCCCTTGCGTGCCTTTTCACACCTCCTTGCGTGCTTGCGTGCGTCGACTCGAAAGCGACGCAAGCCTCCCGCAAAGGCTGCGATTGGTCTGCAAACTACATCCTTTAGGGAGTCTCACATTTCCGTTTTCATAGCACAATACCCCCATTATTAAAACGAAGAATGTTCACGAGAGAACGGATCAGATTGAAGAGCTTTTGTGCGTAAATATGACCACTTATACAAGCCGTCATTGGCGAGTTGTAGAAGCGGGTTCGATTCATGGAGGGAGATCGCCGCAAACGCCGGTTTGCCGGTCGAGGGGTGAAAAAAGTTGTGGAGGAAAATACGGGATAAATGTGTCCGCGATGAAAAGCAGCAGTGGCGATGCACGGGGAAATAAAGTATATGATAAATAAATAAACACACCAACGACTTCCACACACAAAGACGTGACTCTCTAGGTCGTCTTTGACAAAAAACGTTAGTCCACCTATTGTTCTGGAGGTGAAATGCTCTGCAACACACGCAAGAATTTTAGGAAGAATCCTCTGAGTAGCCTTGAATCAGGGAGAAGGGGGGGGGGGGGGTTAAGAAGTAGTTTGTTAAAGGAAAAACAGTGGTTTCCCTTAAGCGCCGAATAATTCAACTAAACAAACTTAGTGCAACTTAGATAAAAGGTTGTACGTCAAGGCATTTACTCATGAACTATGGTCATGACAAATAGTTTCCCAAATAACTCAAAAATCCAAATTCTCAGGTGTGAACAATTACCTCTCTGCAGGCCATGACTGGGCTGTGGAATTGAATGCGGTGTTATGTTCATTATTGTTGCCTTAAAGTGAACCGTGAGCTTAGTCCAGTTTTGCTCTACGAGATATTGCATTTCCCTCTCTGGAGTCACAATACTGACCTTACCTGCGTCTGCGGATTATGGGAAAAAAGAGCACAACTGTGCGGAGCCACTTGGCTGCATGACTGTAATGTCTTGGTCTATTTGCCTTTTAAGTAGCAGGAATGACAAGCTCCATGTGAAGTGAAGAGTAATGTAATTTTATATTCAGAAACAATAGAAAGCTCTGTGGTGGATATGTTCGTGCAGGGTGGTGAATGACAGACGAAGAAAATACTCAAATGTAACCGTTTGAGAAAACACAAATAGGAATTGGGGTTAAAGGGGAAAGAGATATAGCCTACTGTATTTACCAATCATTATCAATACAAAAACTAAATTAAACCAGATCCGCCAGAGAAAGTCACAGCATTTGAAACACAAAACATAGCTAGATAAATTGACCATGTCCACAGATAGCCTGGTCCTCTGGAAGGGACCACCACTAGGCCGTCGTCTTGCCCGACATCTGTTTTGCAGCTTGGCTCTGCATGGTGGTTTATGTTGAGAAAGCAGTGTGTGTATATCATTGGCACAGATCCATGGGATTTTGACAGATGGCTGCAGGCAAGCTTGTCTGATGAAAGGTTTTCCCCCGGGAAAAGACAGAGCTAACACGGAGACAGAACAAGAAGCTGTTCTCTGCTGCACTTTTTGTCTTTGCTCAAGAGGTCAAATGATGCACGAGAGAAACACCTCTCAATGTTTGCTTTACGACAGAGCAATCAACGAGAGATCCTGACGTAAAACATTTTTGTTTCTCTCCTCCTGCCGTCCCAGCCCTGCTTGTCATTCCCTCTGCTTTATACAGCACCTCCATAAGGGAGAAATTTAGTTCGGCTTTTCTTGAATTTAATCCACAAGGATGATTGTACATCTCAAATGGCCTTGTGTTTTCTATGAATGGATGTAAAAAATGGGCAAAAGCATAAGAATAGGTCAAAATAGGTCCAATTCATGTTCAGGATTTATTTTCCTTTTAAATCTGCCGCAGTTCTTTAAAAAAACTGATTTATTTACATTGTGCATGACAAAAAACATTTATCATTTCTGACTTGAATACATGGAAAACAGGAAAAGTTACAAGTGAGGTTTAAATCTTTTACTCGACTTCATCTTGTTCCGGTGTTTGGCTAGACACATTATATTTTTTTTAAATGTCTCTTATGAAAAGAAAATAATAAGGTCTAGAAAAGTCAGTGAGGCAAGTTTTTAATGCAGCCAGGCTACGATTGGCTATGGCAAATACAACAGAACATTGTTTTGACTGGATGAGGCTCCAAACGATGAAGACGACATCAACTGGGATGACTAAAAGCAACCACATGATAAGTTTTGTAAAAGCTAATTTATTCACAATTAAAAATATACAGTAGCTGTTAAACAAATGATTATGCCATCGGCGAAGCAAACCATATGTAGCTTAGACAAAGCAACAATTATAATAAAAGAATATACATAAAATATAACAAATGCAAACCTTTAATTTATGACACAGAAAAAGTCAATCCTGCACCCCGCCATGCTCACTGGCTCGACCTAATGAATGCTCAGCACTCTGTTTTCAAATACAAAAAACACACTTCCATGTCTTTTCTGGGAGGAAAAAAGGCACTCTTGGGAAGCAATTCCCTTATTTTTAAGGAATAGTTTATGTATGAATATACTCAAGTAAAGAAGAAAGAAAAAAAATGATTATTTGACAAGGTTAGGTCTCACAACTTTCTTAACATTGGTAAATTTACACAGTAAGAGCATCACGTGAAACACAAAACATTATAATATCCCATAAAATATGCACTCAAATTTTGAGAATTTTGATGATATTTCTGAACTAAAAAAATAATTATAATATTCACGTAATGTATAATGTGTCCAGCACAAAAAAGAAACAACATATTAAATGTTCAATGACATTGTCCAAATTGTTTTCAACAGTGCATCCATCTGTCAGCTGAGAGCTATTTCAAGGTTTGGAAAATGTCTGTTTTCCAACTGAATTACACTAATTAAAAACAAAGCTAAAGGTTATTCAGAGAAAGCAATCATAATGGCAATTATGAAGGTCTCTAAAGAGTGTGAAACCATTTAAATTATTTATCTCCATTAATCCTTCACTTTACTTTATCTGGGACAACTGTGTAAAATATATCCTAAACGTTGTCTTTAAATGTGTTGAAGACATGAAGAATGTAATTTCATTGTATTACTCTCAATTGAGCAGCCCTGTTATTTGTAGTCTATTTTTTTAGCGTTCTGGAGAGGACCTTTTTTGGGGCGCTGGCTCCTCTGGTCCAGGGTAGTGTCCTGATCGGGGTGAGTTTGGGGCTTCCTTGACTCGTAAAGCTTCTTCAGGCTAAGGGTCTGCTGCTCCTTGGTGGTCTCTCGCTGGGCCTGGCGCAGCAGACGCTTCATGGTCTTCACCTTTTCCTTCAGGTGGTCGTTGGCCTTCTCCAAGGAACGCACCTTCTGGGAGAGAGCCCAGACCCTCTCCTCCTCTTCAAACAGAGCCTTCTGCACTGCCGAGCACATCAGCTGAATGATCAGGAGAAGCGAGAGGGGCATTTAATTAAGAGCAGTGCGGACAAACACAATGAACCGTGACCCATTCGACCACTGAACTGTCATTAATCGTTAATCAATTACTTTCAAGTTATCTGCTCAAGGAAGGCCAGTATCAGATTATGTACCGTGAGACTTACACTAGACTTTCATCTCGCTCTGCCTTATGAATTAAATCATATAGGGTTTATTTCCCATAACTAAAGAATAGTGTTAGATTCTGTATTTTTTTGTAGCATTTATGATGCGGTAGCTGAAAAATCTATTGTATTTCATGCTGGATTTCCTTCAAATAAGTTATATTAGAGAATACATGGCATGCTCTAAGGAACACTGTACACCGCAGCTCCGAACAGCTCGTAAATCTTTCAGCATATTTTGCTTGTGAGTATGTCTGAGAAAGTTAAATAAAATGTGTGGCTGCTTGTAGCCCGAAAAGAACAAAAGAGGAAGGGCCAGTGGACAGGAGAAATAATTTTCAGTGTTAGCACACGACATACTACAATCTTTATGTACCAGCCGGTACATAAGCCAAAGACAACACACAATGTTTCTCTATGTAAGATGACTTTGAGGTTAAAATGGTTTCCCCAACACGCTCCGTCTGTTTCAGCAGGACGTAACTGTGAGCTGGAACCTAACATGACTGCAAACCTTTTCCTTGTTGACAAAATAAGCTCCAGCGTCCACCAATGTAAGCTTCCACATGGGACCACCGTGAGATGCTGATGCATATTCCCTCAGATAACAACCGCAGAGGGTTTGGAGGAAATGTTAAAAATGTGCGTCTGGCTGCCGGTCACCTGTAATATTATAATATGGACTCTTTTACTCATATTATCCATAAGGTATATGAAAGGGGTATGGCACTTTATGGAGCAAAAGATGAAGTTCAGGGGCAAAATAATCAAGTTATGTAAAGGAGGAGGAATAAAATGGCACATCACGGTCTTTCTCTGCACCCAGGTTCTGTGTCAAGGCTTACAGTGGTTTTATTGCCTAAACATAACTTCCTGATGGATGATTATTTTGAAAAGTGCTATGCATGTATCCAGTGGAAAATGACACGTTCCTTAACACATTGAAAACTGATGCTTGTGGGTGGAGCACAGTTTAAAGCGTCGGACTAACATCAGTATTTGGAGGTTTGGAGAGAGAATTTGTTTTTTCATCCAGTCTGAAATCACCCAAACTCAACTGCAGTATGTGATTAACAAAAGGGATTATATTTAAAGCAAGACTGGTATTTTCAAGTGACATGTCAAAGGAGCCATGCCTGATCAAAAGGGGAAAAAGTCAGTCAAACCAAAGTAACTGAAGAGAATTCTAACAAAATAAAATAAGGTTTTTATTTCTGACGTTGGCTTTATCCTTCACGAAGGCTCTCTGCAGTCAGTGGCTTTGTTCTGATGTGAGATTAGGTCAGTTGTCTAACATCTGACCCAATCTCAGACATTGGTCTGTTTTTATTTTGTGTGGAGGAAAACTAATCTAATGAGAACAATGTAACAAAGCAGCAAGGATATCTAAATATTTATAATCAAAGGCCTGATCCAAAAGTTTTATGTCAGTGGAAATACAAACTCTGTTTTCATTCTCTTTACCCATAGCAGATTTTCTGCTTTTATGAATCGTCAGCAAAAGATTGGAAGGCGCTGACCTAGATCGGTTTGATTAAGCCAAAGGTTTGGACACATGGACTCTGGGGTGAGATGCAAGAAATCTAGAGTCAGGGAGAACCAGGTATTTGTGTTTCGGTATGAATGAGCATTTATTGGTGTCACACAATAGACCACATCATAGTTTATTTTCATCTTCACTGCATGTTTAATTTAATCTTCACTGCATGTTATCTAACTCCCCTGTCATTTCAGATCCTCCCACATCATCAGCTCATTACCCTCACCTGGTTCTCCTTGCCCTGAAGCACATCCCCTCATCAGCCACTCACTATTTAAGCCCGTCACATTTGTTTGTTCCCTGCCAGATTGTCTCGTGTGTTTTGCAGAGTTTTCCAGCGTTTTCCAAGTTGTTTGCCCTCTGACAGATCTCCAGGTTTTGACCTTGTCTGCCCCATTGATTAAAACCTACTAGTTCCTCCCATCTTGGTCTGAGTCGTGCTTTTGGGTCCCGTCGTGCACCGGTACCAGTAGCCGTGACAATTGGTAAAACAGTAGCTGAATTGATTGCTGGTTGATTCAGGTCATTTTGTCATAACCAGCTCATAACTCATATGATTTACCCACTTTCTCTGGTTTTACTTCAGTGAGGGATTTTCTCACCACCCTTTTTCCCAAACTATTTGTTTCGGCACCATACATCCGCAGAAACTGAATCAAGGAAGATGCACTCTACTTATCACAATCTCAAACAACGCTCGGAACTAGTCTGTGGTAGTGGTTCTGATGAACTACATACCCTGCTGTCCTCCTGAGCCTCCCACTCCGGGGAGTAGCTCAGGACCTGGGTACCAGACGTGCAGTTGGCATACTGGAAAAGGCTGGCAAACGTGCGGTGGTTCTCTGCAGTGTCAGAGAAAATGGGGTCCTGAAAATTCACGCCATGAGGGATAATATTGTAGTTGTCATCCATCCTGCATGCAAGAAAAAAGGAGGATTATATTCATAGAGAATAAAAGCAATAATGGACATACGGTAAAAAGTTGTGCATGATTAAAATCAGAAGCGCGTATAAGTAGATATGTCCGGAAGCAAGGAGTGCAGGTAATACTTCATCTTCATGTCATCAGGATTTTAAACGGACAGGTTTTACCCCTTCATCTATAACGTTGACAGACATCAATCAATAATAAAATAAAGAGAGAAGTGAACCACATACAGACTTTTTTTGCAGCCATGTTTCTTTTTCATATAAATCAAATAATTATGTGTTTGAGCTAAGCCAGCTAACTACAAGCCAAAGGGATTTACCGTACATGTTTCATATCTTTTCCTACGACGTGAAGTGTATGAGGGAGGAGGTCCTGAATCAGCGTGTCTCTGTACATCTGGATTTTATCCTGCATCCCTTGAGGGACACCAAAAGTTTGGTTCTTGTCAGAGACTGTGTGTGCATGCTGAGAGACCACAAAGAAAGCTGATGTTTTGCTTAAACCGAAGAAGTCAAAGGCCAGGTATGTGCACAGTGACCAAGAGGTCAGAAGGAGGTCCTAAGGGAGACGGGGAGCAGCATTTTCTCCACGTTGGCCTTGGATTTGTTCTGTCGTGGGAGTTCATGCTCATGATTGATTGGCAAGACTATTCTGGCCTGTGATAAGTGTTTTGGGGCTTTTACAACAGGAAATAGATGGTTACTAGAGACAGCTGTGATAACTTTTTAGATGTTCTTACAGCGTCTGGGAATCTACAGCTACCTCAATAACGCTCGTATGAAACTCTACACTGATCCATTTTACGGTCTTTGACGGAGGATCTAACATTAGCGATAATTGCAATGATTGTACGTTAAGGAAGATTGAAAGGGTTGGACTATCAGGGTAAGCCAATAAGAAGCAGAGAATGATTATGAAGCTATCAGATGGATAAGCTTAATTTAGCAACAAGACTGAAAAGACAGCAAACAGCTAATGTGGCTGTGCCCAAAAGTAACAAGTACAATGCACTTATTGTCAGTCGCTTTGGATAAAAGCGTCAGCTAAATGACATGTAATGTAACAAAAGCTGCCTACCATCATCTCTGAAGCTCATTAATACAGTGCTGCAGGAATGAGTTAGAAAACATGGATATGGCCTTTTTGCATTTTTGCAAATGTTTGCTATGGTGTCTACTAGAACACTAAAAACATGTTACATCCCCTTTGTTGAATCCAAACAGAAAGTGTAAAAGATTCAAGTTGGATACAAACTTGATTTATTATCCATCTAAACCGGGTCTTGTTTCACGTAGATCTCAGTTACGTGCTTTTGGGCTAATGTCTACTTGAAAGGAAACAATTAGCATACGTTTTTTTTTGGAAATGCTCTCTGGTAACAACTAGCAAAATACCACTGCTTTGGTTTAATGGAGTAATCTTTGCTTCCTAATCATGCTCGGCTCTCCACTTAAACATAACTGTGGGGGGACTTTAGCTTCAGGACGTTTTCCGATGGTGGTCGCCCTGGCTGATTAGGGGGATAACGACCAGATAGCATCACAACACAGGACCGTTAGGCCATCCCCCGGAGGTGTACTTAACTGAAGCCAGAGATATCATCTGAAAAGCCAACATCAGACGATACACGTTCACAGAATGTGAGAGTGATTCTGTTCATGTACAACGTATGCCATATGTTATTGAAGTTGGCCCTGCTGCAAACCCTCATGTGGGACAGCCCAAACATTTAACTTCAGAAATGCTTTTCAGTGCCCCCCACTGAATATCTAACTCTTAATCTGTTTGAGAGAAAAGAGTAGAGAGAAATCTTGACCTGTCAGCACATGTTCCCTTCATCAAGGGAACATGCAAGACAAAAGGTGGTCCCGTACCGACCAAGTTTACCTTAAAGCTATTGGGAAATGTCTGGCTCTATAATTATACTGGCTGGAATGCAACGTTTCCTGAGTAACAGCGTTGTTTCTGTCCAAATACAGACACTTAAGAATTAACCTGCCACATACTTCCTTTTGAGATCTGAGGTTAACGTTCGACATGTTATTAAATGTATTATTAAAAGAGAACACTTGGTTGTCATTAAGGATAGTCCAGTTGGAGTTAGTTGTTTTTATACTCATACATTGCCACAATGTTTTGGTCTCTTTTCTCTCTCCTCAATATATACAGCATCTCCTTTAGAACTGTCTATTGAATAACGGCAATAATGCTCTACATTCAAAACATGGAGGATCAATCTGACTGAATGCAACCTGGATAGTAGTTGGCTGCAGGTACTAATGGCGTAGTTTGGCGAGGGACAACTTTAAATCCCATTGTTTACAGCGATTACAGAGATTGAAACATTGCATGTAGCTTCTATTAACAATCAATTATTACCAAATAATTTACTTGTTGGAATTCGTGGATTGCATTAGGAAGGGACAGTCCTGTCATCTTTTCTGTCTGAGTTTATAAACCGTCTTCATAACGTGGATGCCTGACTCTCAAACACCGACAAAGTTTCACAAAACAATTTCAACCTTTATTTCGTTCTCTGAAAAATAAAACAAATGGAATAGATAGCTTCTTTTGCTAGAAAATGGTCTTATAAAAAGTGAATTTTACTCAGTTCAGCACCAGGTGAAAAACCTCAACGCATCCGATACACTAAATAATTGACCAAAAAAATAGAGGATTCCTGTGATTCTCACCTTAGAAAGAAGTAGTAGTTGTTGTCTTTGGTGACGCTGTACGTGAAGCAGTTGAAGTAGCCCAGACCGGTCACATTGAACCTGGAGCCGGCGGGGACCTCCAGCATGCTGCCCCACGCCTGGTCGCACAGCAGCTCAATCTCGGCGGAGAAAAGCAGCTCCGTGTCGGAGGGCTGGACGGGCAGGTAGTTGTCATACACATTGTAGAACTCCTTGTGCAGTGCTAACACCTTGGCAAATACGATGATCTGCGCCAATTCGGCCCGGCATGCTTCTGTCTGCTGTCTCCAGTCGCGGGGAAGATGACATCCTAAACTGCCATCTGCTCTCGCCGTTGCAAGGACAAACGCCAAAATAATCCACATCATCTGACACAGATGGGGTGACTGTGTGCCAAAGAAGCGCACTTTGCTGCGGGAGGATAAAAACCACGAACAAAAGTTGTCACAGTGAGGCGATTAAGACAAAGGACTATCTCAAGCAAATAGTCCGGGCTGTGGGTAAATTCTCTGCTCTCTGCGGCCCTCCTCCAGCAGTACTACCTGCGATCAATGCATCACCCCGTTCACACACCAGCATCCCCTTCAGAAACCGGCCTGTCCTTTGAAAATAATCCAGAAGTAGCAAAGACAGAGTCGATAAATTATCAAAAGATTCTCTGAAACAGTAACTCATCCAGCTCAATTTCTTTTAGATTATGTTGCTTTTACTGCAGCAAAGGAACGTTTTACAGGCTACAGCAAACAATAGATTCTCAATGAAACTGTAGCGCCCCCTAGTGACAATATGGGTATTTTGACCAGTTTATTCATGGGACATCCAACACATACGTTCAGAAACCTTCAGATCTGTTATTTGTTTTAGTTTGTGGTACAGTATACTTTCCTTGAGATGTTTTCCCCAGATTTTGCCCAATTAATTGTTTTCTGAAGGGACATGATGAAAGTGTCCATTTGTGTTTATCAATGCTCGTGGGTAAACGACAGCCAGCTCGTCCTTTCATTGTCACTGCTTCTTAAGTATAGTAGATGTTCACATTAAACTGTCATACCCATCTATTAGCAATAAATTTGAGGATCTTCCACAGTAACAAAAGTATTTTGTCAGTCCTCCCCAGCTCCAACAATCGTATCTTAGCAATTTTATCCAAAGCGACACACAATATGTGTATTTCAACCATAAGCATCAAACGAGAACAAGAAACAGTGCAAAAGTGCAATTTCATCAAATAAGCCGATTTACAAATTGCTATTAGATAAGAGCCATTACAAGTACAATTAAAGTGCTACAGTTTCTTGTGTTTTTTAGTCAAGGTATAGTCTGAAGAGGTGTGTCTTTAGTTTGCGGCGGTATGTAAATGTGAAGGTCTCTGCGGTCCTGGTGTCATCAGAGAGCTTATTCCACCATTTAGGAGCCAGGTCAGCAAAGAGGCAGCGTGCAGTGTGCGGGTTGGGATACGGTTTGACCATGTCCTGGATGTAGACTGGACCTGATCCATTCACAGCAATAACAATCGGTAAAGGGCTACAACATAAGGTGCAAGACAGAGGGAGAAGCAGGAGGCACCAACTACTCAATACCCAAGAAGACAACGGGCACACGCGGTAGGGCCGGGTGCGAAAAGTGATCGGTGGAAGGTTCCTTTTTGTCGATGGCAGGTACCCTTTTCGGAATGGTCGGTGGTAGGTTCCTCCGGTGGTCGGTGGAAGGATCCTTTTTCAGTAGAGACATGGACCCGCCTCCTCCTCCTCATGCAAATTACATGTTAATGAGTATCTTCACGACTATTGGTTTGCCGTAAATCATATTTTTCGAACTTTGAGAATCAGGCACAACACAGCGACCTGCAAGTAGCGCAGCGTCTTAAAAAAAGTGATGTATGTCTTAATGCGATGCTTTAGAAATAAACCCAAAGGGATTCTGTATTTGTTCATGAAGTCTGAAAAGGGTAATTTGGGCAATGTTTTGATAACTGACCGCAGCCAGCGGACTGACAACAGCCCCCCCGTGCCGCACCCCCCCCCCGCACCCAAATACGTGTAACCAGTGCTGTAGTGGTAAAATTAGAGGTGGGTAAACTCTGAATTTTGTGATCATACAGACCTCGACGCGATGCGAAGCAACGCAACACAAAGCGTCGCGACTCTGTAAGGCTGTCCTGGCTATATTGCATTATGTTATCAGTAAAAGTCATATACAATCAATGACAATGAATACATGTGTTAGTAGTTTGTAGTTTATTAAATTTAAGAAAACAGTAAAGAAAAGTATGTCAACACAACAACACAATTGCAGATTAAGAACTATCTACATACGGAGTCTCCTTTTTACAGTAGTGCCCGGAGGGCCTTCCTTGTCCTCCACGTCAGGTCCTGCCTTGCACAGAGGAGCCATGAACCCCAGAACACGCGTTCTGGGGTTCATGGCTCCTCTGTGCTTCTCCTCTCTCTATTGGACCTGGTGTTTCTCCTCTCCCTGTGCTCTCTGCATCATTGCCTGTCCTCTCACTGCCTGAAAAAATATGTTGAATTTAAGAGTTAACCAGTTAAGCAGCCTGTCAATTACACTGACAACACTGACACCAATATTGTCTGACATGAAACCGGTCCGTGAGGTAAGAAAGGTTGGGGACCACTGGGCTGATCCACAACGTGTGTTTATACACCTCCTGGATCCTGATTGGTGTCGCTGCTGCAGCCGCAAGGCACTGATTGGATGCTCACAGACCGTAATACAGCGCAGATGAACATGATTCAGACTACGGCGTTTATATGTTCAACAATAGGAAACGTAGTCTTAGCGGTTTTAAAATTACACCAAGTTTATTTTGGATTGGATTATAACGGAAGAATACAAGACGCAGGGAACTTTGAGTTGCGTAAACGCCACTTAGAGGTGCGTAAAGGCTATTTATAGGTGCGTAAACGCTATTTCCAAATTCTAGAGGTGCGTAAACGGCGTTTACGTGCGTTTACCCTCCACTACAGCCCTGCATGTAACCACATTTGGTATTAATGAGTAACAGACTTTTATAAGTAAAGGAGGGATATTGTTAAGCGGAACCTTTGGCACTGTAGTCGGCCGTTCCCAGGTGCCTATTTGAGGACGGACTTCCTGCCCCCCTTTAGATGTAATCTGGAGAAAGAGACAGTGGTGCTGTGGTTCTTGCTCTTTAGACTCTACCTTTTATTTTACAGAAATAAATCTTTGTTATTGTGGTCATCGTGCCCGAGACCCGTAACAAACTGTGTGGGCTCATCCGGGATCTCTCCTCTTCAGTCATTGAGGAAAGATCCAGTGATACCAGAACGCGACAGTGACCAGGCCGCTGCGTCAGCCAAGTCAACTAGTGAGTGTCCAAGGAGGAAGGTCAAAGTGGGAAAGGATCTTTGTCTCAAAGTGGAACTGCACTCTCGTAAGTAAAGCAAAGCGCATGTCAGTCACTACAAAGCCATTATACAACGTTCAACACCACAAACTACACGTCACATGTCGACAACACGGAAGGAACTGGTATGGAGCATCAGAGGACGCTTGTTCACACTCTCCCGCAGAGACCTCTTCGAGTTAGCAAAGAGCCTTGCAACAGAACTGGGTTTACACTTAAATAAACATCTTATACTTTCAAATTTAATGAAATATTTTAGCAAATTCTGACATTTTGATGCTGCAATGATTCACCCTAATCTACTCAGTTACCCATGCTTTAAACATAAATCAGCATTTTAAACAAAAGTAAATAAAATCTCACCGACCATTGGCGTCTTTGGACCAAACCGTAGAGTAACTTGTCTCTTCTCCGCTGTGCCTGTTTAAAAAGGGAATGAGGACCTTGTAGGATATTAGAAACAAATTGACGATCCGGTTCATAAAATTAATAAAAATGCATATAGTGTACACCAGAATACAGCCATGATTCTGAAACTGTGTAATCAATAAAGTAATGACAATATTGTAAAACCACTGTAATTCTGCAACTGTAATAGAATAATACCAATGTACAGTTATGATTGTATTTGATGTAATGTAATCAACTGGAATGCATGCATGTAATACTTGAACAACAACTGATATTGACTAAGGATCATCCGAAATCCGAGTTGCATTGAACTCACCAGAAGACCACTCCCAGAGGTGTGGACACTGACTTTCACACCTTTAAGCATTGTTATAAATACCTGTAGGAACCATTGTTCTCGAGTTCACTGGTGGAGGCGACAGACGGGCACTAGGGATGGTCAAAGGACTGACCTGGGGCCTGTTGGTGGCTGAGACCAGCGGCTCCTCAGCTGAGAGGACAATTTACAGTGCCGCATACTGCCGAAAATCCCACTTTTCATGCAGTGAACAATGTGGACACCCATCCTTCAAATGGTAAAATTGGCACTGCAATCTTCTCTTTGTTGAAAGTTTGAATTCTGCTCCCACAAACTAGCAGTCCCGAGTTCACATCTTTATATACTACCAGTCTGCTTAGAGTTGTGTCTGAGAACTCTGTTCTTCAACTGTCAGAACAGCTTGCTTTGGTGATTTTACCTCCCGCTTTGACGAGGCTCGGCACATCTTCAGCCACTGCTTGGCAGCTAGACAAACCCAGGCAATGACTCTCACCAGTTTGGACAGGCTACTGAATCTTTTTACCTCTGCTGCAACCTCTCCAGCTGATTTTATAGGCCACTTCTCCACTGGCCACTTCAGGAACTCTGATCCATTTTGCCATGTGGAATTTTCCTTCAAATCTTCAGGAGTGCCTCCTCTTGTTATGATGTCAGCTATGTTTAGATCTCCGCTGATCCAATACCAGTCTTGCACTAGTCCAGCTTTCTGGATTTCACCCACTCTATTTGCAAAGAAGGTTTGGTATCCATAACTGACTCTTTGAATGGCTCCCAAGACCGTTTGACTGTCAATTAGATGGAACCATCTCTCGGTCTTCATTCGAGCATGCTTTTCCACATACTTCCTGATCCTGGCCGCGAAGACAGCACCACAGATTTGGGCTTTTACAGCGTCTCCCTTCTGATCCAGGGGCGTCAGCTTGGCTTTTGATTCAACGAATCGAACTTCAGTGCTTTGACTTGTCTCCCATCTTAAGTACATCACAGCTCCATAGGTTTTGTCACTTCCATCAGAGAATGTGATGCCCCAAGGTTTCCCTTTCCAGCCAGCTGGTGTGAGGCTCCTGTGAAATCACTTCTCCAAGCTGCACATATTCTTCAAAAAGTTGTATGGCTTCTTCCCTGAGGAGTTCCGAGAGAGGTTTGTCCCAGGTTTCTTGGGTTAGTCTCCCACCACCTCCCTCTTGGAATGCATTCCTAACAAGAATTGCTCCCTTCTGCTTCGCAAGTGTAACAAAGCCAATTGGGTCATACAGTCCGGCAACTTGACTTAAGAGAACCCTCCTAGTCAGTGTCTCAGTTCTCACCTCCTCCTTGAGAAGATCTTTTCCAACTCTCATCTTCTTCTTCCTTTTGGAAAAGTTAACTGAGGTTAACATGTAGAGCTTGTCTTCATCCATCTGGTAGCCGATACCCAAGGCTCTGTTGTCTTCATCCCTCCTTTGATTTGGAAGAATTAAGGTTTTCTCTTGTATCACTGTTAGAACCTCTGTCTCCATTCTTTGCCTCCCACTTTGCCCGGACCGGACCCATGGTTTGTGGAAGAAACCTCCGGCTTTCAGGATCTCTTCAACATTTGGTGTGATTTTGTCAAGTTTATCTCGGTC